GGGGTGTTGATGATAAAGAGTAAGGAAAAGAAGGCCAGCCCTGTGGCCTAGCAGTGAAGTGCACGCATTCTGCTTCAGCGGCCAGAGGGGTCACAGGTTCCGATCCTCGGGGCGCACAGAGGCACCACTTGTCAAGCCATGCTGTGGCCACATCCCATACAAAGTAGAGGAAGATGGGCACTGATGTTAGCCCAGGGCCAATCTTCCTCCACAAAAAGAGGAGGATTAGCATTGGATGTTAGCTCCGGGCTGATCTTCCTCCCTGAATGAATGAATGAATGAATAAATAAATAAAAGCAAAATTAAAAAAAAAGAAGAAGAATAAGGAAAAGAAGAAACTGTGGCTGAAGCTGAACAAACCTAATTAAATACCAGCCAGCTGACTTTGCCCAGACTAGCACGTCAGGGGCCAGGGGCTAAGGAAGTAGAATGGAGAAGGAAAATGACTCCTTTGTATTTAGATAGTAAATGAGTATGAAAATTATATGCAAACAAATCATGCATATTATTTTCATCTCAACATTTGAACACCTTTTATAATCTTCTTGTAGCCTTAGGGAATGGGGAAGGAAAGGAGGTTAACATATTTGGGGAAGTTAATTTGGCACACACTATTTGGTTCTTTGTCCTAGCTGCATTGTCACCCTGACCTCATCTCTCCTGAGAGTCAGCCTGTTTCCCTGGTCAGGCCTACAGCTTTGCTCTGATCCAGAGGAGAGTTTACTATTGGACTGGAGGCAGGGAGCACCGAAAGCATTAGTAACAGAGGAGAGCTATCAGGTTGTATCTAGAACCCGCTGTGAGCAACATCTTCAGAATTAACCATAAGACTCTCCCTCCTTTCCTGTCTCCAGATGGGGAAGGAGAACCTGGATTCTTCTTTCCAATTCCTTACATCCAAAATATCCACACAGCCTCTAATATTTGGAAGCTTTGCTCCTTTGGGGTGAGGATGGGAGAGTAAATCTTGTGAAAAGTTGAGAGGCCATTAAAGGAGGCCCATCCAGGAGTTGGTGGTGGCAGCAGTGGGCACAGTTGGGATTGAAAACCTGTGTTTTCAGGGGATAGCAGGAAGCAGAGACAAGTGCAGTGGGAGACAGATGCACTGATAGGGCATGCTCGAGCAGTGCCCACGAACTGGGGGTAACCACTCCACTGTCTGAACTGGAGGCGGGAGCTCCACAGGCCCTATTCTCCACCCCCAGGACTTTAATTCAGCCAGCCCTGCTGGTCTAGTGGTTAAAAGTCTATGCTCTCATGGCTGCAGCCCAGGTTTGTTTCCCAGTCACGGATCCACACCACCCGTCTGTCAGTTGTCATACTGCGGTGGCTGTGTGATGCTGAAAGCTGTGCCACCGAGGTGGACAGGTTTCAGTGGAGCTTCCAGACTAAGACAGACTAGGAAGAAGGACCTGGCCACCCACTTCCAAAAAAATCAGCCATGAAAACCCTGTGAATAGCAGCAGAGCATTGTCTGATAGAGAGCCAGAGAGGATGGCACAAAAAGACCAGGCAGGGTGCTGACTACTAGCATCTCCACTTGGTTGCCTCAAAGGCATACTGACCACCTTCCCTGCCTCCCGAAACTGGCTCCTCCAGCATTCCCTGAGTAAATTGCACCATTAACCAATTAGGCGCTTAAGCCAGAAACCTGAACATCAACCTTCTGTCCTCCTCCCTTAACCTCACGTCCAACCAAGTCCTATCAATCCTGCTTCCTAAATATCTTTCAAATCTCTCCTCCCCTTATCACCATGATATCTATCAAGCCACCATCTTTTCTCTCCTGAACCACTGCAAAAGTCTCCCTGCCGAGGCTTTTCTCCCTCAATCCATCTTAGACCCTGAGGTCAAGTGATTCTTCTAAAACACAAAACTGATCATCTTGTTTCCCTGCTATAAAACCTTTCAATGATTTCTCACTGCCCTTGAACTAAAGTCTATACTCTTTATGATATTTTACAAGGTCTTTCTACCTTTCCAGCCTCTTCTCTCAACACCATCCCCTCCTCCAACTGTTCTCCAGTAGAATTGCACCTTGTATGTGCTCTCTCTTGCCCCTGGACTTTTGTACTTGCTGTTCCCTGTGTTTGGAAGACTCTCCTGGCCTCCCTTCCCTTCTGGTTAACTCTTCCCCTTCTTTCAGGTATCGGTTTGAACACCACTCTCTGAGAAGCCTTTCCAGACTGCCAGAGTAGGTTAACTACCCTTGCTGTATACTGCCATTGCTCCCCCAGCATGACCCTTATCACAAGTCATTTCATTGCCTGCTTAAATGCCTGGCTTGCCTGGCTTCCCGACTACACAATAGTGTAGTCAACCTCTGACCTGATCAACAGTGTACCTTGTACACTGTACAAGGTACCATAGTACCTTGCACAGTACCTGACACCTAGTAAGCAATCAATATTTGTTGTAGACTGAATGAATAGAGAGCCATTTTTACTTCTCAATCCATTCAAAATGCACAAATTTTGTGTACGTGTGTGTGTGTGCGCGTGTATGCAGCTCAAAATACAGCTTGGCTGACAGGACTAAGAAATAGCTACAAGGCCCTGTAGACTGCTTGGTCACACAGCGGGAGAGCAGCTGCTGGTGAGACATAGAACTCTTTAAGCTTTAATTTCCTCATGTGTAATACGGGAATAATAAAATCTGCCTTATATAATTCAATAAACAATAGCTATTATATCTATATCCCAATTCCCAAATAGGGACGGAGCCCGTGTTCTGCTCAGAAGAATCAAGCCCATGACTAAAACTGCCCACCAGGTGGCAGTATTACCCTAGACTGGTCCTGAGCGCCTTCCACTGCAGAGCAAGACCAGCAGTCGCTGGGAAACAGAAGGTACCACCAGGGCTGCTTCCCCAGAGCTTTGAGTGAAACCAGGAAAAAAAAAAAACAACTCAAAGACTGGGGCATATGTCAAGAAGGCCTCATGTTTCTTAGACCCATCCTCCTCCTTTTCTTATCTCAGGCTCCTCTGAGGCACTATTTATGCTTAGGAATAAGCATTTTCTGGCTTGCCATTCACAATGGGGAGAGTGTTCCCCCTTCTAGATAAGTCCTTTTATCCCACTAGAGCTGCCAGCTTCCACTTCCAGTGGGGGCTGTGTTAAGAAGAGGGGCAGATTTGCCTTCTCATACTGCAGAGAACATCTCGTTATTCTAGGAAGCCCCACGGCCACCCATTTCTGGGACATGGGGAGTGGCAGAAGCCAGAGTTACTCTTGGTTACAGATTTCACTCATCCTTTTCCACCTTGACTTCAATGAATGAGTTCAAGTCAGGACAGCAGGTTTTGTGTGGTTGGTCAAAAGATGGGGAGACAGGTCCATTCTCATCACCTCCCTCATCTTCCTCTTCTTGGAAATTAGGATTATAAAGTTCTGGTGGAAGGAGCTGGGCCTCAGCCGAAGGTAGTCGGTCTGAGGGAGGCCCATACACACGGTTGGCTTTAGTGCCATGCTTAGAGTTGGCATCCAGGTGGTAGCAGAGCTCTGTGAGGCGCTGGGCCCGGAAACGGGGAGGCCGGGCCACCCAGACACCTGGCTCATTAAGACTGTCCTCTTCATCTGACATCAGCTCTTCTGTCACATTCTTCCACAGGCGTTGGTCCTCAGGTCCAAAATGCCTCATGATGCTGGTTCGGTTGGCAAAAAGCTAAGGTGGGAGCCCAGGACAGAGATTAGGAAGAGAAACAAACTATGCATTAGGTTTGGGGAAAGGGCCTGGGTGGGAGGAAGGCTGTGTAAAATCTGTGCCTGAGAGAACCCAGCCCCCAAGTCAAATCTTAGAACTGGCTCACCGTCTTCCTCCTCTATCTGCCTACATTCTTGGCTCTCAACCGTATTCTCAGATGTCACGTCCTCTGGCATTCCCATTGTGGCTTATTAGGGTTTAGAGTTTAGCATCTCGAAAGAAAGGCCTAGAAACCTACCCGGTATCTGCGACTTCGAAGTTTCTTCTCCTCTTTTTCCTTCAGGCCTTTAAAGGGGTTCAGGGAGTTGCGGTACTCACGCCTCTTAGTAAGGAAGTAGGCTACACAGGCTCCTGAAGGGGAGAAGGCAAAAAGCAGGGACCTCTAGAGCACTGGTCCTCAGCCCATTTTTCTGCCCAAACACTACTGGGTGGGAGAGTGAGAATCACTATTTAGATAGTGGGCTTTCTCGGCAACCCATCAGCATCTATTCACTCCTCTTTGATTTAGCGCTCTCTGCCCACCCCCATCTCCAACACTAACTCCTCCCATATCTCCCACTAGAAAAAGACTCCAGTGCTCCGTTAACTCCCTTCCCCACCCCCAATTAAATCTACCCCCATCCTACTCTGCTGATAGCAGACTATAAGTACATTCTCAGCAGAAGCTTTCTTCTTCTTTTTTTTTTTGAGGAAGATTGGCCCTGAGCTAACATCTGTTGCCAATTTTCCTCCTTTTTCCTCCCCAAAGCCCCAGTAGTTGTATGTCATAGTCGTACATCCTTCTAGTTGCTCTGTGTGGGATGCCCCCACAGCATGGCTTGATGAGCGGGGTGTAGGTCTGCGCCCAGGATCCAAACCTGCGAACCCCAGGCCACTGAAGTGGAGCGCGTGAACTTAACCACTACGCCACCAGGCCGGCCCCCAGCAGGAGCATTCTTAATGCTTCAGGGTTAGTTATGGACAAAGAACGGAAGAGCAAGAAAAGCAGAGAACGCAGGATGTCATATTTAAGGACAAAAGGGCAGGCCTGGATTCTGACCTCCTTGTCATCACACCCTAGATTCAGGCCTGTGGAAACATCATGCATGATGCTGTTCTATCCTTTTCCTTCTCCCATTTTCATTTCAGACTGAGTAAGGGAATAAAAAGGCAATTAAAGACAATCTGGTGAATATTGTAGATGAGCAGAATAGCTAAAAATAATTTTTTAAGTCCACTATTTTCAAAACCATCCGAATCATCTCCATTATGCCTTTGCTCCCCTGATCAGGAACAGGGGCTGGAGAAAGGATGAGATGGGAGTGACCTCAGTTTTTCTCACCTTTCAGCTCCTTATCAGTGTAATTGTGGGGACTGGTCACCAGCTCCTGCTTGAGCTTTTCCAGAAGGAACTTCACTACTGAAATATTCCAAGAGGACTTGATGCTGCCACAACGAGAAGAGAGTGAATAAGGCAGTCAGCATTTTAAAGGGTAGACGACAAACAGAGATTCCCAGCACTAATCAGCTTTGTGGTAAATTCCTCCATGGCCTAAGACAGGCGACAGGGGGCAACGGTGTGATCAAAGCCTTCGCCTCATTGTTATATTGGAGCAGCCCCCTCTACTTCCCTCTCCTTGGCCAAGTGCCTTGTGATTCTTTTCCCTCAAGAGGATCATACCTTTCAGACCCATTGAATCTCTTGTCATTGGTGATGTGGTTATGCACATTGTGGACCAATTTCTAGGGGAAAAAAACAAACACAGAATCAAGCCAGGAGTGGATATGATGAAACCCTCCTCTGGTCCCTAGGCATTATATCTATGGTGCTCTCTGTCCGAATCCTTCCCGTAGTCTGGGTACTATTTCTGTTGATGCCCTTTCTTAGCCAGAGAGCCTATCCAAGTTAGTAATTCTAATGCCCCCCCACCCCCTTTTCCCTTTTCATTTAATTTGTGTGAAGACTCCAGGAGCATCCTTGGTCTTACTTCTGCTCCTGAGGAATATGATCACTAGAGCAGAGTCTCAAACATTTCCAAACAAACTCCTAATAGCAAGGAGAGAGCGAATATGCATAGGGCTACTGCAAGTGGACATTTTTTGAAGCACCATACTCTTGTGAATTTTAAAATTTTCTTCACAGTATATCTGTATTTCTTTTAACATAAAAATGTCTCCCGAAATCTAGTAAAATTGATGACCCAGGAAAATGCCCCAGGTACATCCATCTGCACATTACCACAAATCTCAGGGGTACTCACACTATGGTCTGAAAAACACAAACCTAAAATAACAGAGATGTGAAATGGAAAGGGCCTTGGAGACTCTATCACCCAGTCTCCCTTTCATATCATTAAACAGGCTGTCTTTCAGCTTTCCTTCTACACCTTTAACGATGGGTTCTCACTAGTTTTTGAGTCAGCTTAGTCTACTGTTGATCATCTCTAATTGTTAAAAAGTTTTGCCTTAGATGCTCCAAAATCTGACCCCAGTTTTGCCCATAATAGCACCTGAAATATTTGAAAAGAGCTTTCATGTACTCCCCAAGTCTTCTCTTATTTGGTCTAAACACCCAAGTCCTTCCACCATTCTTCATGACATGGTTTCCAGGCAGACTGCTCATGAAACTGTGAGGCTCTTTGGTTTGCCAGTGTCCCTCTTACAACGTGGCACCTGGAACCGAATCTAACTCATCAGTTGAGGTCTGGCCAAAGGGAGCATTAGTTCCCTGAGTGGAACTCTACATTTCCAGGAATGAAACTCAAGATGGTGTTACCTTTCTTAGCAACACCATCCCTACTCACAGTGTCACAGGCTTCATTCATAGTGAGCTTGTAGTCAACTCAAGTCCATTTTTCACATGGATTACTATCTCCACCATTCCTCAATTGGTTTTTTTTTTTTTTGAACTTTAATACAGGATTTTATATTTCTTCCTATTATATTTAGTTTTGTTGTTTCTGATTATATTTTCATCCCAAGTTCCCTCAGTCAATGGAAGTTACCCAAATCGATGGACTCATATCCTCATCTCAGGACTTCTGCTTCATATTCAGAAACGCCCAATTTACCCTGTACCTCTATGGTTGGTTGACCATAGCAACTGAGGAAAGTACTGTCAACTCTTTATGGCTAGGGTCTCCACTCTATAAAAAGGACTGTTATTACACTAGCTTCATATTTGATATAGTTATTTTACTGCTTAGAAGTCCAAATTTAAGGAATCACAAGGGATAGGTGAATGCTTCAGAAGGAATTTGAAAGAGTTGCAAAAAAAGAGAAAAAATGAGGGAGTTGCAAAGCTTCTGATTCAAGTGGCTCGGAAGAGATTAGCTGATAAAAATCAAACCAGGCTTGAAGTGGAAAGGGAAAATACTCTAGACAAAAATAAGTGTTAAGACTATAAGGGCTGCTGGCTCACCTACCTCCTGAGTGAGCTAAAAATAAATACATTTCCCCAATGGGTAGCTGGAATCTGCAGCATTCCAAGGAATTAAGAGTTCTGGTTTGGTCCTTTTGGACTAGCAGCAATCCACAGCAGCCTCATCAGATTGGAGAGATGCCTCTCTGATTCCTTCCCAGAGATAAAGGTTGGAATAGTGAAGATCTGCAACTACCCCTCTCCCTCTAAGCCCCACAGTTTGGCACAAGAACATTTTAAACCTTCCTCTATGATGAGCAGCAAAATTCCCTGACTGGTCCTCCAGATCCTTTTCAAGTACTATAATGGAAAGCATGATGAGTGAGCATACTCTCCTCCCAGAAGGTCCCAGTTCCACCGAGCTCTCCAAGGGGAGAAAGAAGCCAAACCTCAACACTAGACCTCTTGCTGGAGGCAACAGGCAGGAAAGGAATGGAAGTGATCGAAAATCCTGATTTTATACAAATTATAATTATCACATATTTATTCATGATTTAAAAACAATGAAATTTTGGGAAATCCCTTGAAATGCATTTCTAGGAGTATACCTCCATTTCTATCACTGGCAGACAGAGTGGCCCTCCTGGGCCAGAAATCCATGACAGAGAAACTAAACCCATCCCCTGTTCCTGATAAGTGAGATGTCCCTGAACATAACCGATATTTGAAATGAAGGTTACAAACCAGTTGATACTGATTATGAATGCTGTCTTCCTTCCCAGGGAAAAAAAGAATCCTTCAGTGTAAAAACAAATCAAATGAAAGGGAGAGTAAGAGCAAGATCCCTTACAAAAGGAAAAGGAAGCAAGAAGTAATATAAATAAAGGAGGTATAAGTGGTAATCAGCTGTCTTCAATCTTTACTAAGACTGTAACAAGCAGAAATAGGCTATATACTATAAAAGATTTTGGTTGGATGTGAGGGGTGCCCTCCACTCTTAACCAGAACTCTCAAGTTACTTCATCAGCCATTATCCAGAGAATGGAAACCCATTAGTCAATATGAACATTATATGGCTAAAGAACATCCCCCATGGTCATCAGAAAGATGTTTTTGGGCACAGAGCTGATCCAAAGGACTGTGGTCACCCTAGAACAGGGTTTCTCAACCTTGGCACTATTGACATTTTAGGCTGGATAACTGTGAGGGGCTGTCCTGTACATGTAGGATGTTTAGCGATGTTCCTAGGGCTCCAAGCCACTCCAAGGTTTCAGGCAGAACTGTTTTAGGCCAGTAACCTTCCCTGCCAAGAGCTCTTAGAATCACTAGAATCTCCAAACCTCTGTAACTGAGCTGAGTGTCTAATGGCCCTCTGCATCTTTGGGGTTTGGGACCACCTCAGGACACCTTGGCCTTTCTGCCCAAGTGGCCCCTTGCCCCTTACCCTGAACACTGGAAATCTGCAGGCAGTTTCCAGTGCCACCTTTTGGTGGTCAATCTGCTCAACCCCTTAAAGATCTTGCCATCATGATTATTAGATCACTGGGAGATGTGATATAATTCCCCTCTCTTTAAATAGAAGATATTGATCTACCTGGAAAAGCCTAAACAAAGTTCCACGGAGAGCGGGGGAACTGCCTATCCCTAGGGTGAGTTAATAACCTGTCTCCTTCTTGTCCCTCCCACTCCAGTAGGATTCAGATTACCATTCATTCAATATGGGAATTTTTAACATCAACCTACACATCACTCTTCACTTATCTCTCCAGAATGAAGAAAAATTTATAGAAATTGAGCTCACTCACAGAGAGGACCAGATCCCGCTTGCGCCTGGAGTTCTTCTGCCCACTCCCTCTGGTCCTGCACGGGGAAGCAGTAAACCCTAGAGAGTGTCTCAGCTCCCCAGGTCCCCCCGGGCCTGACTCTTCCAAGTCCAGCGCAGCAGCAGCGCTGAGCATGTCCTCGGGGCGGGGTGGTGGCAGCTTGGTTCCATTTTCTGGCCCTGTCTCTGAGGTTGCCCGCTGGATAGCCAGTTGTGTGGCTGGTGAGAGCTGCTTGGCATAGGCAGGGACCAGCACCCGCTGTACTGCACCCTCAGAGGCCACATAATCATCCACCAGCTATGAACATAAAACAGAATAGCCTATTAGCCATCCAGGCTTAGGGGAACCCGGTCAACCATCATTCTCTGGCCAAGGATAGTGAATGAACAGAGGGTGGAAAGCAGGGGGAATCTAGCACAGTTGTTAATGGTCAATGGCTTGTTTCTCTGGGACTTGCATGGGAGTGCTGGGCAAATATTTCTTGCGACGTTGGGTCATTACCATGATTACAAGAACAAGGCATGTTTCTGACGCTCTATTTGTGAGGAGCCATTTATGATTTGCTCTTGGGTATAAGAACTGCAGCCAGGTAACTGTTTTGTCTAAAAGGGATTTGGGGAGGAAGTGATGGCAAGAAAGGAAAACGAAGCAAGAGAAGGAGCAAGAAAATAAAATAACAACGATAAAGAGGAGAAATAGGAGGAAAATGGGAGCAAAGGAGGGAGAGAGAAAGTCAGAAATCTCTAGAGAGGCTGGCTTCCCCACCCCCCATTTCCTTTGCGGGGCCAGTCGGTGCCCTCACCTTGATCCTGCCCTGGCCACATCCGACTGTCACTGCCTTGACATCTACTTGCCTGCCTGTGCCCTCACTCAAGGACATACAGGGCAGGGAAAGGAAGGAGGGAGGGAGAGAGAGGGAAAAAGAAGGGAGGGGGGATTTCTGCAGCCAGGAAAACAAAACAGTGAAAGTGGGGGGGAAAAAAACACAGAAAGAAGCGGGGGAGGAGACTGAGATTTATAGACCTGTGAGCTGCTTTCTGCGCTGTGAAATCTAATTCCATCCTGTCGGCTTGGAAGCCTTCCCTGCCTGAAAGAACCACAGCTCAGGGCACTGCCTGGCCTGGTACCCCCCTGCCTCCTCCCACCTTCCCAGTTCCTCCTCCTGCGGCCCCAAACCGCTGAGAGCCCTGGCCGGGCACAGACTGGGGTGAGCAGCAGTGGCCATCACCCACATGGCTAGGCCTTCGGGGAGCAGTGTGACACTGGAGGGGGACAGGGGAGTGTATCCATTCATTTCTCAGACCCAGCAGATGGGCTAGGAGTTTCATCCCTCTCATCTACCCCATGTGTTTTGCTCCTCTACTCTTTACTGGGTGTCTGGGCCTTGTCATGGGGGGAGCAGGAAAGAGAGAGGGTGAAAGGAGACCGCACTGGAGGAGAGTTGACAGAACTCCCACTGTTTCTCAAGGGGCAACACATCTATTTTCCCATCTCTATGATCCCTCTAGTTGCTCCATCTCCTTTTCATACTTCCATGTGTGATACTCTGCAGTTTTTACTCTACTCAGCCAGGATTTTCCTGCTCATAGGGCCTGAGCAGTAAAGAAACTGAAATAGCACTATGTATTTCTATGTCTTCTCCTGCTCACAAAATATGCTCACTTGCTTCCCTCTTTTTCCCGACATGTTATTCTCTTACTATTAACTCTCAAATGTCCATTTCTTTTCCTCATTTTATTTCCTTTCCTCTACCTCCCTCTCACCTTACCTCATAGTCTCATTCTCACATCAATTCTTTCCGTTTAAATTCATCTTTCTTCTAGGCTCCTTGCTTTTTCTCCTTCCTCACCCTTAGTTTCCACTTGCCTCATTCCCTCCATACACCTGTCTTCTATTATCTCTGTCCTCTCCCTTCTCTCCATCCTCTCTCCACCTCTGCCTCTCTCCCCTCTACATTCCCATCTCTCTCTGTACTGAATTCCTCTTGGCAAGCAGAGGGCCCGTGATAAAATATGAATGAGCCGTCTGTGCACAGCAGGCATTCTCGCCAGGAGAGGCAGAGCCCGTGGAGCAGCCGAGACAGCTGTGGAGGAGAAGGTGCCACACAGAGCCACTGAGGGAGGGAAGGGCACCCCCATCACCACACACACCAGAAATGACCTCCTGCTAAAGAGGCTAGGGTTCAGGAAGAAAACAGGAGTGCTGACTATCCTTTTGCTGAAGGCAAAGGAAATTTGGTACTGTTCTGTGTTATCACAAATACAACGCAAAGAAAGGTTTAAGGATGGAAAGAAAATAGAGAAAGAAAAAAGAGAGAAAGGCCAGGAAAAGCCCTAAGGAGCAACAACGCTCGTGCCCTGCTCTGTGGCCATACTCACGGAATTGAGCATCGGGGCTCCCTCGCTGGCAGCCAGGGGGCATCCCGGGAGCCGCATGTCTCTCTGAGCAGCTGGGAAGCCCAAAGGCCCAGGCCCCACAGCCGAGGCGGCTCCCAGCTGCCGCAGCTCCTCAATCACCACCTGCACACCGCTGCCCACGCTGTCACACTCCTCTTCCACGGCAGACACAGCCTTGCAGGATTCCCTGGGACTCTCCTTGAGGGGTCCAGGCTCCTCAGGTGGGGAACTATGTGCCCGGCTTTCCCCATCTTCCTCAGGGGTGGGTACTTTCCCTTGCCTCAGCTCACCCACTTCCTCCTGGAGACGTTTTAACAATTCATTGTTGGCCCTGGCAAGACCCAGAGCAGCCTCAGCCAGACCCACGGCCTTATCCACCCGCTGGTAGATGATATGCAGGAGCTGCTCTGAACTCTGAACTGCCAGGCCATGTCCGGTCACTGTGATAGGAGTGCTGGGAGGAGGATTCCCGCCCTGGGAGCCCGTGCTGCCCCCACTAGTCTCGCTCTTACAGGCACAGCAGCAGCATCTGGCCTCGCTACCACTGGGAGGGGAGAAGAGAATTGTGGCACTGAAGGACATGGCGGGCGGAAGCTGGAACAACCACGCTCACACTGCTGGACTGCTCCAAAAGGTGTCCCCAGTCAACTGGACTTCACAGGCTTGGTAGGAAGCACTGGCCTCTCTAGATTCACTTTCCTTTCTCATGGAGGGTGATCAGAGGAGCCTGGGCACCAGGTGGTGGGTTCTGTGAAGAAGGAGTAGGCAAGCCGTGAGGGAGCACACAGCACATGGCTGCCTGTCCTCGGCCTGCAGAGGAGAGATGCCTTCTTCTCTCTGCAGATCCTATGCGCCCCTAGCACAGCACTGGGTGTCACGCTCACCCCTTACTGAAAGGGTAGTGCCTACAAGGGCCTTCCTGACGAGCGAGGTTTCAGAGGGTGGAAGGCATTCTTCCTGCACCCGCGCATGGAACCCCCACCACTCCAACCTAAGGAACAGAGAGGAGACTCAGAAGGACCCACCAGCATCTGGAAAGATTAGATTAAGGAAGAAAATGCAGATCTGTCTTCTCCTCCTCACTATCTTTGCTATAATAACATTATTGCATTTTATTGCTTTGACATCATTCCTTAAGGAGTTCAGAATACTTCACGTGGGTTCTCTCATCCACAGGACAGCTCTAGGAAACACATATTACCCCAGGTCCAGAGAAGAGACATGCAGAGAAGTTACAGATCTTTTTCAAGGTCAGAAGACAGAGGAATTCAGTTATTGCTACTTTTAATCTAGTGTTTATTTTTTTGAACTGATACCACTTTTTGTTGACATAAAGAATAATGATTCTACCCTCTCTATAATTTTCATACAGATGCATTCAGAGTTAAGACTCCTAAATAAGGAATACACTGATCACCGCAGCCCTCAACGTGTCACCAACCCCACACTATTCTATCATTAATGCTTTGGGGATGGGGTAGGGAAATGAAAGGAAAAGCTGGATCAGAGAGGTGAGCTGCCGTGACCCAGGGCTGCACAGCCCCCTTGCTGTCACAATTGTACACCTGGGACTCCAGCCTCTGCAACACAAACTAGCTGTTCTGAATCCTCCAGCCAGTAGGAAGCCAAGAGAAATCACCTCTGGGGCCCCTTGTCTCCACTTTTCATGCTCCTTAAGGGAGGAGCAGAGCTCAACAGCTAAGTGCTGCCGCTTTGTCCACATGACCAGCCCCTATAAAAGGAGAAACCAGAATATCAATGATAAACCAAACTGCCTCTCTTTTGAATCATTGTAGTTAAGCAACTAAACTACTCCAGGGGAAAAGAAAAGGAAAAAAAAAAGGCATGGGAGGGTTTGTACCACTGAGAACACTCCAAGGAACTTCATATTGTCATTTTCTAAAGATACTTGATTATAGAAAAAATAATCCTTCTGCCTAAAGCTCCCTAAGTGACACAATCTTAAGTATGTTTATAATTTCCTCAGGAGATACATTTCTATCTTACCCTGTAAATTATATCATAACATCACAATTAAAAGGAGAGGAGGAGGTTAGGAGAATTTTCTGTGTATTGAGATTTGGGGATTTTTTTTTGAATCAGCAATCTCATTTCAGAAACAGGCAATATCAATGCCTCTGAGGTACTAAAATGTAAATCTGACAATGCATTTTAATTACATTTCGTTATTAAAGAATAGTCTTTAATTTGCTCTTTCTACCTTTTATATCGAAGAAACGCTTTTCTGTGCCAGACATTTACTTCTTGCAAGAACTTAACTCAAATCCATTTACAGCTTCTCTGTCATTAGAGTCACTGGAAGGCACAGCTGAACCTAAAACTAAAGGTTAAAGCCAAATTAAAACTAAAGGTTAAAGGAGAGCACTGAGGGATTCCTATGTCAATTTATGGATGAAGCATTTATATATCCTTTTCGTTCCTAAATAAGGGCTTACCCTGCTCCCGCAGGGTTTTTAATTTTTTTTTTTAACCAACATCTTGCAAGGAGTTTATTCTGAAACATGGATGTCATGAGAAAAAGGATGCTAAGTTATGGAGATGCTTAACTAGTAAGAATGCTGACTAGTTGAGTTCAGTATTTGTAAAATCAGAAATTAAGATGCATCAGGTGGGGACACTGAGTGGGTACCCTTTCTGGTACCAAATTCATGACTGCTACACTCTTGCCGCACACATTTACTCTTTCTTACAAGAGGCCTTTATCTCCCGGGGCCCTTCCTTCCCCCTTGAATGGTCTTTCCTAGGTCATCTTTCCAAAACAGCACTAAACTGGAATTTTAAAAGAGGTGGGCGGGGGGGAGGGGGGGGCGGTGGTGGTATTCTCATCCTGCTGCACCACTTAAGAGCTATGTGAACTTGGGCAAATTATTGACTTATCTGAGCCCCAGTGTTCTCATCTCGGCCCACTTTGAGTGTTTTTGTGAAGATTATACAAAACATATAGAAGGCACCTACAGAGTGCTGGCACATGGTCAGTGTCCCACAAACGGCAGCTGGATGATATTATGATTATTCCTGAAACCTTTTGTGTTCCCACCCTGGACATCCATCCTGATTTCCTAATCTTGAAAAAAATGCAATGGCTTGAAATGGAATTTGGGGGATTTTCCCCCTAAATTTCACATCAAATTTCTTTTTTTTTTTTTTTTTTTAAAGATTTTATTTATTCAGTTTTTTCCCCCCAAAGCCCCAGTAGATAGTTGTACGTCATAGGTTCACATCCTTCTAGTTGCTGTACGTGGGACTCGGCCTCGCGTTGGACGGAGAAGTGGTGCCTCGGGGCACTCCCGGGATCCGAACCCGCGCCGCCAGCATCAGAGCGCGCGCACTTAACCGCTAAGCCACGGGGCCGGCCCCACATCAAATTTCTAAGAAACAAATTCAAGTCTACAAGGATGCATTTATAGATACAAAACCTTCTGTGATGCAAATGAGAAAAGTAATCCAGAAAACACAGTATTTGCAATTTACTTACTATCATGACCTGGCTTTATTTTTTATTTTTTATTTTATTTTATTTTTTTAATTTATTTTTTTTTTTCCCCCCAAAGCCCCAGTAGATAGTTGTATGTCATAGGTGCACATCCTTCTAGTTGCTGTATGTGGGGCACGGCCTCAGCATGGCCAGAGAAGCGGTGTGTCGGTGCGAGCCCGGGATCCGAACCCAGGCCGCCAGCAGCGGAGCGCTCGCACTTAACCGCTAAGCCATGGGGCCGGCCCATGACCTGGCTTTAAACTAAGGATGACATTCAATTCTGCTAGTTTTTAATGCTAAATGTATTTTCCTATTGTGAGTTCATTTTGTTCCTCAATTTCTTGTTACTTTCCTACTTTGTGTATTACCATACTATGGTCCATTTTAGAATGTCACATTCAGGGCAACAAATAGGTGTTTTCTTGAATTAACCTGTCTATAGAAACCTGGTATAGTGCATTGTAGCACAATGGGCATTCAAATAACTTTTTTTGTTTCTATGGACATTATTGCTGACTTAATTTCCCTGCCTCCTGCTATAGTCTTCCACGTAAACTCTAAGACACTGAAATATAAGGACAAAGACAGAAACGGTTCAGCAGGTAATAAAGGAATATTTCACATTATAATAAACTCCTTGAAAGATGTTGAGGTGGATCAACGAAGACAAAGTTGTATACTAGAGAGACATTCTCTTTACTTTGGAGACAGATTTTCCTCAGTATAAATAATTCAAATTGATAATAGAACTTTATTGTAGGCACTGCTGCATTATCTGTTGTTACAACCTGTTAAGTTCTTTTCAAACACTCCAGACCTGACATAATTCTTCTTGTTTTGTTCCATCACTAGCTTAAGGTTCTCAAGCCCATTTAACCCTGCCAACATTATTAACATACCTAAACTTTATTCTGATATTTTTATTTTACTTTTCAAACTGTATAACTGTTTAATTCAATAACCCATGGAATGTTTGGCAAAATAATGGTTAACTGTAGTAAATTATCCAGGCAGTGTCTGTACCATTATTATTAAACATTAATACTGTCAACTTTTGCAATTTCAGATTGCTAATTTATTTTAAAACCAAGAGTTCATATTTTTGTTCACAAAAGAAAAAATAGGAATAAACTAAGATTGACCACCATAGAATACATATGGCTTTTGCAAAATGCTATCAGCTTTCAGAATTGAGTGTTAAGGAAAAGATCTTCAATCTTGTGATGAGTTGCCAACACAAAATGACAGCATCTGTCAAACCTAAGTTTGCATAAAATATATGTGTTTGGGGTTCATTTCTGTATTGGTCTAATTTTAATACATGTGAAAGGAGCCTAGAAAAATGTACTTTTCAATAATTTTGATATTTTATTCATAAATATTTAGCTAAAAAAAAAGAAAACTCATCTTCTTTAGACAGTTCAGGGTGAGACTGTCCATACTCTTAACTATCCCTTTCCTCCCAAGTCACATGTATTTTTGGTAGAACTAAATATATCATACTCTTGGCAGCTCCCTTGCTTGCTTTTTCCAAGTTTGCATTTTCTGCATGACTGAGTTCACCTCCAAACTATGAAAAATAAAAGTTCTCTCACTATTTAATAGATGTGTATGATATGGTATCACTCAGATGATATATGTTTTTATAGTGGGCCCTTGACTCATTCAGGGTCGTGCTAGCAATGGACTTCCTCAAATGTGATTACTGAAAGCACAGCAATTCATACCATAATCTCCATTTTAAGAAATAAGAAAAAGGAAAATGGCCACTTCAAGCTCTTGCTGTACTGGTCAGCCCTTCTCCTCCACTTGAAGGTGCAAAATGGCTCACCTGTTAGAAGGTCCTCTCAAAACATATTTCTATCAGAAATGAGCTCCTTATCACACAACAGCAGGTAAGCAAATGCCTTAAAATACTATTTTCCTAGATTTTGAAAGACTGACCCATCTAATGATCTGCAAAGAAAATCTAAGACCTAATTTTTAGGGGTAAAAAAGAGGCATGTACCCAAAGGGCGTGTGATCCGAAAATTCCAAGTATATTTGTACAGTGGTACAAGAGTTTTTAACTTAGTGTAGCAGTCTTTTTTATTTACAGTTGCTAAAATGCAACTTGAGAAGATTAAAATTTCCGTTTAAGGTTTTCATATAAACGTGCCTCACGTAAAGGAATTCCTGCATTTCTGGAGAAACTGAAAAATGAAAAACCAGCTCCTAAAGCTGTATCATGTGCACCGCAAGCCCTCTGTAAATGTTAGTTGATTAAATATTGGTCAAAGATGACAAGGTGGGCACCAGGGACAGCAAGACCATTTCCAAAGAAAACAGTGACTGAGCCACAGGCAGGGCGACCGCAGCGACGCGGGGAAGGAGGGCTCGCGTGCTGCCCTCGAGGCCGCAGGGCACACGGCGACCAGCCACGGAACTCAACGGCAGAGCGCGCCCTGGGGATCCCGGGAAAGGGGTGTTCCCGAGAGGGCGGCAGACAGCCAAGTGGCCAGAGGCGCGGTCGAGGATCTCGCTGGGTAGGCTACGTGGCCACGAAAGCTCTGAGCACTTGGGCTTAGGGCGGCACAGGAGTCCCCGCGGCGGTCCCGCTTTGGCAGCCCTACGGGTGTTCCATCGCGTGTGCCCCGCGCCGCCGCGCCAGCTGACTCAGCGGCGCCCAAACAAGCTCCCGGGTAACCGAAAGTGACGGCGGAGCCGGCCCGTGTACCCGGCCAGCGCGCGCACGTGGGGAGGCACCGCCCCGCTTATCCTCTCGCCCCCGGTGATTGGCAGTTACACTACGGGGGGAACAGGACCAGGGACGCTATTGGCTACAATCCACAGTCACTCAACGAGCCAGGGAGGGGAGGGGCCTCTTCAGGGAGGGACACGATTGCGAGGCTTTTTCAGGGCCGTCAGGCGCCATCTTTAGCTTGCTTTTTAAATTTTGTTTACTCGCTTTTGTTCTCTGCTGCTCACAAAGCTGCGTGTACCTGATTATATGTACAGTGGCCACAAATCGGTTTCTTACGTTTGGTCGTGGGAGGCTTTTAGTTCTTGTCGGCCCTGGTCACAGATCTTTCAGATATCACCAGCAAAATGGCAGTTCTCCTTAGTTCAGAGTTCTCATCTCTAGGGGCCCCGCGGATTCCCGAGCAAAATCAACCAAGTTCAGCTTTGCTCTGCTTTGATAAGAAGGCCAAGCCAACGATATATTCGTGGGAGGAATTCTCTTTCTTACGAAGAAAGAAACTCAAAGCAAGGACATTGGATATGGGGCTAGGTTCCTAGAAAAAATCAGAGTCCAGAAGTCGGGACGTGGGCTGCATACCGCTCTAGGAGGAGCTCTCCCTTTTCTGAGAAGCTAAAAAGTACACGTGATGACCTGCAGTGATGCGGAAAAGAATTAGAAAGGGCAAAACTCCATTAAAAATGACCAGCATTGCCACCATCACAAAGTTCACTGGAATCAGACTGGATTTCAAAGATACACAGGTCTAAACTTGTGGAATGATCCACATTTGAGACAGTGTTATTAAACACTGACCTAACTTCCATTGCTAGGGAATAAAATACACTCAGTACAGGTGAGACCCCAGAGAGCCCACACAGGGCCACTTGCATTATAAATAATTTCAAGACCTGTACCAGTAGTTTTATCGCCATTGTTTAGTGTTCTAAATGCTGCTTCAGACTGCGTAGGCCGCTAGCCAGGGATGAAAGTGTATTGTTATCATACAGAGGTGTGTTGCACTGAAATTTGAACTCTACAGTAGATCTTTTATCTCCTGGTTGCTACTTCTCTTGTGACATTCCAGTTTCTCCCTCATCACCCATATCCCTCCTATGCTTTCACTCCAATCTGCGAAGATAGATTTGAATATACATATTTTCTGTGTGACTCTTAATGGAGACAGTGGTTCTGTAACGGAATGAAGTGAGAATACGGCTCATATAACGGAGGCTCTGCTCTCAGCCTGTTCTTTAATTCATACGCTTTTCTCTGTGACTCTTAGACATGGAGAGGCTTTTCATTCCAAAAACGCAACATGATAACCAAAATGCATTTCTATCCCTCCTGTGTATTATTTGCCTTTGCCTCCTCTGGGCCCCTCCCCCATCACCACCACCATGAACAGTTTTGCGAATTGGACTTGACTAGATTATTTTCCTGATTATTTTGCCAGCTGTGGAGCTTTTCAAACAAATCCCAACCTATAAACGGCCATTCTGTCAAAAAGCCAAGAGAGAATTTCCCTTCTGAACACACTAACCAAACCACACATAAAGGCCAAAATATACACAGTTGTACATTTAAGAACGTGAGACAATAAAAAGCAAAACCACTTAGGCAAAACAGTCACTAAAGAAGGCTTTGAATCACAGATTCAATAAATTGTCTACCCTCATTTACCACACGGACTGTATACTCCTTGGCAATTATTTAATTATTCACTAATCTGATGCTTTAGAAGAGGAGCAAAAAAAATACAGTAAATGCACATAGAATGAAAGTGCCTAAGTATGCTAAGCATAGGATTTCTTCTAACCTGTAATTTGCATACAAAATCCTGTTTGGATCACATTTGGGAACACAACAGAAAAAAACTTACATCCTAGGGGCTACTTTGCACACGTAAAACCAAAGGTAATCATTTTTGAAAACAACATCTGCAATGACACATACACACATACTGTACATATACACAAAGCACAAAACCCCAAGATAAATCTTTACAAAATAATTTGCTTTGAGAAACACACACACACAATGTCCTCATGAAAATGTGTGTAAGACACACTGTAAGAAGGGCTTTGCCCCCACTCCCCAGGGAAATGAGTGTCTCCATTATAATAGCCAAATATTTTAAACCTACTGGCCTTGGATAATTGCCACATTCAAGCCACTTGGTTTTGGTTCTGGGGGAGGGTGTGTAAAACGCACGCAAAAGCTTTGTGAGGGAGTCTCAAATCTCCCCTTCCTTCGACGTTTGCCCGTGGCAGAAATTTACATTATCCCTTCAGCCCGCTTAAAAAAAGAAATCTATACTTCCCAAGCGGCTAAATTTTTCAAATCCCTCGACCATCAAAATTTACCAGTTCTTAAAATGTGACAGCAAAAAGAAAAAATCTCTATAAATTTGGCTGGAAACAGTTGTACACGGCCATCCTGCTTCTCAACTTCTTGGTATATTTAAAACCTTGACCAGGAAAAAGAAAGAGGAAGAGAGACAGAAAAAGAAATGGGGGAAAGCGCAAATTCCCCTTAGCAACAGTTTCCTCACCCCAGCACTGCCACAGATCTCTATTTTTAAAAATTTTGAAAGCACACACAAGATTAAGGAGGGAAAAAAAATGGAAAAAGGATACCCGAAGGTCGTATGGCTCTTTGTATTCGTGTGTGTGCAAAAAGAAGGACTCGCGGAGCCCGAGCCGGCTGGCCCCGCCCCTCCCCGGTCGCC